CCTCAGCCCCTCGCCCCAGCGCTCCCCTGGTCCCCGCTCTCTCTCCCCCCCACACTGGGGCGGGGGCCGGGGGTGGGCTCCCCACAGCTAGAGAGAGACGCACGTTGGCGGGCACGGGGCTCTGGGTCTCCCCTCACAGCTACACACGCATTAGGGGCGATGGGACTCAGGGTCTCTCCCGACACACACCGAGGGGGACTCCGGAACCAAAACATGGACAGACGCACGGAGCAGGGAGGGAGCGATTCTCAACATCCACTTGTGCTTCACTTCTCTATGTTTAGATATGGCTTCACAATACAAGAGTGTTGCCTTCTGGGAAGAGTGCAACTTGTTCTATTCTGCAAACAGTGAATTGCTAGTTAAAGGCGTTGAATGAAGCCTGTGATAATTTTGCGACTACTTGAGTAGTGAAGGAGGGGCTTGAAAGCTGCATGAAGATAGGAATGGTCTACATGAGAAAATTGTGCTAGTTGAGATTTCAGTTCATGCCTTGGTGAGAATCCATAGGACTTGCTCTTGTAGACAAACCCCCTACAATCACAAAAGTTCTCTTGTTAGCGTGCATTTCGGGTAGCAATTATATTTCCATGTAAGAAAGCCATGAATCTTACTCAGTGAAGCGGGGAATCCCACGGAGAAACTGCTAGTTTCATTTGAAAGTTTAAAAATCAGCATTTCAAGATAAGGGGATGTTTCTTTTGCAGGAGCTACCCACACAGTTTACAAGTTGAGCTCACTTTGTTCAATGGGCTTGAATATATATGTTAATATGGCATAATAAATTTGTTGCTGATATTTCCTTTTATATTTCTTTCAGGTGTGCACATAAAACAGCTGGTAAAGGTAAGATTTGAATGCCTCCTTTATTCTAATGTTGTTTATTATTAACATGTGGTATCAGGGAAAAGGAAACTAATCTTCCTTAAGGCAGTCTTCCATCAGATGCATCTTCCATGTTAAGAAAACATTTCATGTTTGCTTCGTGTTGAATATTGCTATAGTTCTGCAAAGCTCCACTCAAGATTGGGATCCCATTGTGCTAAGCTACATACAAATTCAGCAGATTAACCTGGTATTGCTCAGGTGTGTAACTGAAGAAGTGGTTGGAGGAACAACAGGAGTGGGGGAAGGAGGGTATGGCCTGGCCCCATGAGGAACTGAGGAGGGAGTAAGGAGGAAACCTCCAGTCCTGTGAGGAAACGCAGGAAGGGGAAGGGGGGTGATGAGAATCCTCATGGGTGACGGGGGAGAGGGGGAAAAATCGTAGGCCCTATAGGAGCCTCACAGCAGTGTGTGGGGGGAGAGTGGGTGGAATAGCCACACACTCATGTGGAACGATGGGGGAGGGGGAAGGAATTCCCAGGCTCCATGGTGGGGAAGGGTAATCCCCAGGTCCTGTAGCTGTGGGGTGGGGAAGAGGAACCTTACCCATAGAAGGTGGCATGGCGGGCAACATGCAGAGCCCCATCTCCAGCTGGTCAGTCTCATGCTGGTGTGGCTGTTCCCAGTGCTCACTCCCTGCCCCTACTGCTAAATGTGAGGATTGCATCTCTCCTTTCAGCCCCTGCATGTTGTGTGGGAAGCCCCATTCCCGCCACTTCCCGTGTTCCCGGCACAACCAAACCCTGACCTTGCTTTGTTAGGGTAAGAGGAAGCTGCCTACCAAACTTGGTGGCCTACTAAATGGTTACAGTGAAGGGGTTCTTGCACAAACAGATGGACAGACATTTCATTTCTAAAATATATAGAGAGAGAATTTGTGCATCTTTATGCACTTTTATTATGTTGGCACTTAATTATCACATTAAATAAAATATGGTATATATTTTTTAATTTAGATTTGTGGGTTTTGATGTTTTTAAATTTGCAGACTCCTAAAAAGTTTCAAATGGACATGCAGACCTCTTTGGGAATCTTAGACATAGTCTGTGGACCCACCCCAGGAGTTCAGGGAGCATAGGCTGCACACTATTCATTTAGAGATGTGTATACGGTATCTTGTAATGGCAATTGAAAACAGAATAAACCATATGTACACAACATACATCTTAAATATTTGACTGAGAAGTATAAATTTTCTGCAGTATTTAAGTCTCCAAAATTATAGCTCAATAAGCTCTTCAGACTTGAAATATGTAGTTTATGGGTGCAAACAGAATTATTTAATGCATTTATTACAATAGTGCTTAAGAATCAACCAAAAGAAGGACCTAATTGTGCTAAGCATGCATAGAATTGTAGATTGCCCCTACCCTACAAAGTTTGCTGTCTAAATAGATGGGATAGACCTAGAATAGGAGAAGGGGGTATAAACAAGCAGAAGGAACCATGGAATAGCAGAATTATTAAAATGAAACAAGTGAACTTAGACTATCAGTAAAAAAACAAAAGGAATTGCTGTCAGTAAAATGAGTATTTTGTAAAAGAACAAAAGGTGTAATGTGTAAGGGCTCACCAGATCGTTGACTTAGGCACAAAGGTTTGCGTGTGTGCATCCGATAGCAAGATTGTGGACAGGTTAAGGTTGAAGAAGGTACGTATTATATTTCAAAGTCAGCCTTGATTATTGTATTTCCTGGCTTAGATACTTTATCATACAACTGTAAATAGTATTCTAGTATGTCTTACAACAGCCATTCTCAAGCTGGGAGTCATGATACTTCGATATTACATGGGGTACCGCAAGCTGTCAGCCACCACCCCAAATCTTGCTTTGCCTCCAACATTTATAATAGTGTTTATAAGTTAAAAAAAATTACATTTAAGGGCATCACACTCAGACTTGCTGTGTAAAGGGGTCATCAATACAAAAGTTTGAAAAACACTGCTTTATAGAATGATGGTATTTTGAGATGGCTTTTGTACAGGTACTCCTTTAGTTTTATTAACTTTAGTATAATTAGTAAGTCCTTTTTATATAGTTTAATTGTCAGTTTTCATAAATCCTAATGTCCGTATAGTTAATCTGTGTACTATAGTTCATATACAGTTTCTCACAGGTTTAGATAATCCCATGATAAATGTTAACTCTAACATTTTAGTTAGAACCCCAGTGTTGGAAACTACTGGGTTCTATATTTCATAATTAAATTTAGAATCTTGCTTTTCCACCAATTGAAAATTAACCTCATAAACTGAACCTGTTAGTCGTGCAGGTAGTGATTCCTTTAAAGCTACAAAGCTGCTTTCTCTCTACCCACTCCCATCCCACCATTCATCTGACATTACTCATTGATATATTTTCAGCTAAAATTTTACCTCTCTGGTTTCTGCCAGAAATTGGGTGTTTTTGGAAAGTTTGAGTAAAATCCTTTCACCAGCTAGAACAGTCACATACAAGTGATAAGCAAAAAAATAAAATAAAATAAATAAAAGCCCATCCCTGACTTGCCCATCAAATGAGAATCAGAAAAAAGACACACCTCAATCATGCAATTCTGGATGCCAGGGTTCCCCTCGCCCTCCTGCCCCACAGACGGGGAGCTGCCAAGTTTCAGGATTTCCCATCAGGGTCTGGGGAGGGGCTCTGGATGGGAGGTAGGTTGCAAGAATGGGTGGGAGATAGGGTGCAGGAGTGGGCTGGGCAGGAGGAAGGAAACAGGTGCGTGGGCTGGGCAGGAAGGAGGGTTCAGGAGTAGAGTGGGGGGTGGGAAGAGAGGGAGGGGACAAGGGATTGGAAAACTTACTTGACATACTTGGGGTGGGGGGAGGACAGATAAATAGCTCCATCTGGCCCTGCACTTTCAGGCTCCACCACCCCTTGCCATTCTCATTGACTGTGGTTCCCAACCAATACGAGTACAAGGGTGGAGCCTACAGGCTCCTCTGCTGGCTTCCTTGCCCTGCCATTCTCCCAGCCAGGGTGGGGGGAATGGCAGTGCACAGAGCCAGACACACGGGCTTTAGTGCCAGCTCCCCACTGCTTCCCTCCTGCAGCAGGGGGAGGAGCCCTAGCAAATCAAGGGAAGCCAGGGTCAGACCCTGCCCATGGGCCATAGGTTCCCTATCCCTGAGCTAGAAGTTTTGAATGAAGTACTTCTCATATCTTTAAAAAAAAAAATTGTGTGCGCTAAGCTAGAGAGCGAAGGGAGATAATACCTGAACTTCTAAAATGTAAATAAGGCCTTAAATGATCTAGAAGTGCTTTGCTAAGCTGGGGGAGGGAGGGAAGATATGAATATTTGAAACTTCACAACTAAATATTTGCAGAAGAAATATGTATAAAGATGCTAACATGGCATTTAATGATTGAATCTCTGCATTTGTATGTAGCTTAAGGGTTCAGTTACTGGTCACAAAATACATATGCTTTGCCGTCAGTCTTTAGTGTTGTAAGCTGCACAAGGAGATTCCTTCCCCCGCCCCCCCTTGGAAAAAGAAACCAGTATTTGTGGGCCATTGAGTTTGGAGCGTCAGACACTCAGTTGCAAAAATCTGTTGCTATTGTTAGTTGTACAAATGTTTAACACAGTTCTATTTTCTATTTGTTCCCTTGTACGTTGCAACCCCGTAGAGATATTATTTTAAGGCATGCCCCCTTTCTACCCATCCCCTTTAATTAACTGGTAAAACAATATATTTAACCAGTTAGTCAATTAAATGATATTTTACATCCCAAATATAAATTCCCTGTAGGGGCCTGAGGAGCTCATGTGGTCCACTACTGTGTGCATATGGGGCCACAAGCAGCCGCTGGGCTGAGTACCACTGCATTAATGGGATTTTTCAATCAAAAAGGAAGCAGGTGAAGTATGTGCATGGATATTGTATGAGGATTTGACTTTTTGGAGGTGGTCTGACCATATATGCCTGTGTGAAGATTATTTAGCAAGTCTGGGTAGAGAGGTTAAGCACTTAGTCATCTGTGTTCTAATGTGCAGTCCAACTTGTGGGATTGTTACTGTTGTACACTGTGAACATTAATATAGTTGAGGAGACAAGGTGTGTGAAGTATTTCTGTGTACCTTGGCAGTATGTAGTTGTAGAAAGTGAATATAAATGTGGCATCTGTATACTTGTGACTAGGTGTGAGTTTCTGTGGTGCTTTGTGTGTTTGTGGGGGTTTCCACTGAGCAGCAGATGCCAGTCCTTTGCTTACTATTGATGAGGGTGTAGAATCCTTTACCCAGCGTTGGCTTCAATGGCAAGACATATCAATTATCTTCTTGGATTTTTCCATATAAAGTTGAATATTCAAATGCTTATAACTTCACATTGTATAAACTTAAAAATGATGACTGGTCCAATTAGGAGTCGTCATACATTTGAAAACTGAAATTTAAACTGGATTGTGCCTGAAAAAAATGGTGGGCTTGAATAACTCCACTAGCCAAGCTCATTCTTGAACTTCCCCAATATACACTTTGTATCTAAAAAAGTAACCTTTCTGAAGTGTTTGAGAGTTGCAAACCGGAGGAAATAGGGGTTTACATTGACTCATTCTTAGCCTCATTCCTAGCTGTGCCACAAAACAGTGAAATCATTAGATGTTTGTACTAGTTAAGTCTAAATGTATATCCCAGAAAGATAGCTTATGTGAATACAGTTTTGTCTTCAGATTAGTAGCTTACTTGAAACACAACTGAGTCATTTTCACTTGAACTTAATTGTGCACAATTTGTTCAACTATTGTATGTGCTTAGAATGTCACTTTCAACACTCATAATTGAAAGATTTTTTTTTTAATTTAACAAAGGTCCAGTCCCTCATTTAAGAACCAAGTTTAATTGGCTTAGGTTTTTGGAGACGGTGGGAAATGAATGGGAAATTGGCATATTTGTTGTACAAGGGTTTTTGCAACAAAAAATTATCTTTGGGCAGAGGTGGAGCATAAAATGTTTTTC